GTTCAAAAGATTATTAAACAATTTTGAATTTTTTACATCGCACCTTTAACTTAGACGTTCAAAGGATTGAATTTTGATTCGCAATTGATTTTGACATTGCACCTCGAGCCCGTGGGTTTTGAGGATTGAATTTAATCAATTTTTACACTTATAAAGCGTAAGTCCTATGGGAGTCCGTGACCCCCATTTAATTTCTGATCAAACTCGGAGTCACGAAATTAAATAACTGTTTACTAACAATTCAGTTCCTCCCCTTGAAAATTTTTACAAGTCCATTTTAGGACAATTTTAACATTTCAAGGGTAATAGCGCTTTAGGTGCTCCGCGTTCCATGGATGCGCAAGCACATTTCCTTCCAGATCGGCCAGCATGTAAGTTCCAGGTCGGACTATGCCTTTAACATTGAACGGTCCCTCCCAACTTGGGTCAAGGGTGCCCACATGACTCTGAATCTTCCTTAAAACCAAATGTCCAACTTGAAAGCTTCGAGGTCGAACTCTGGTGTTGTAATGTCTGGTCATTCTGTTCTGATACTCTGCTAAGCGTAGCTGAGCCATTTCCCTCTTTTCTTCTAATAAATCAAGGTTAAGGAGTAGCTCTTCCTCATTCTTTGTTGGCTCGTACTGCTCTACCCTGTCTGTTGGTATGCCGATCTCAACTGGTACAACAGCTTCAGAGCCAAAGGCTAGTGAGAACGGAGTTTCACCAGTAGACTCTCTCGGGGTGGTCCGATATGACCATAATACTTCGGGTAGCTCCTCAGCCCATCTTCCCTTTCTGGAGTCCAGTCTCAGTTTAAGTCCTCGTTTTATAATTTTGTTTATCGCCTCAACCTGCCCATTTATACCCCCAAACAGATTCTTACATCGATTTTTGCTTCTTCTTAGATTATTGATAGGTTGATTTTGGCCGAAAATAGACTCTAATTAAACCATTTATACATCTCTACTAGAGAGCACATTTCTTACCACGATTGGGGTGTCATACATTATCTTAAAGCGTCATATATTATTTTTGTCATTTCTAATCTAAAATGATTAACCATTAGGACACAATAAAAACTTTAGAAAGTCAAATAAAAGTTTTGCAATGGACAAAAAAAAACTTCATCTAAAACAAGCTCACAAACCTTCTTGAAAAGATGCAGAAATGAAATGAGTCTTTCCAAAAAATTATATCAAAGTAGCCTTGTGCACTGAAGTTAGAAGTTGTAAACTAATATGAAAGAAAATTCATCATCATCATTTTTAGGTGATGGAATAGACCCATTTTCTAGTAGTGAAATTGAAATATGCGTCTTTCCAAGATTATATCAAAGTAGCCTTGTTAGAAGTTGTAAACTAATATGATAAGAAAAATCTCGATGGAAATTCTTGCAAACTTCTATTTTATCTTTCACGAAAATAATGTAATTAATATGGAAGATGTAAAGTGGGCCAAGAAGTAATCTAGATATACAGAGGAGGTGTAAGTTGCATGTTTGTATATCAAGAAGATAAAAGAGGAGGAAGATAAGCAAGAAAGTGTATTTCTTACTATTGAATGTACAAAGTATTTATAAGCATCTCAGTCCTTTAAGAGGAGGAGAGAAATGGGTGACTAACTAATCAACCAGATTTAGTGAATCAAAATAATGGTACCAATTACTCCAACACATTAACAATTGAGCCAGCTTTACAAAAAGAGTTGAGATTGATGGAGCCAAATTGATGTCAGAACGAGCCAGGAATGAATCGGGACGAATAGTAATGAAAAATAGGTGAAGAAGCAGGCTGCACGCCATTGGACCGAGGAGGCAGCACGGTGGCGTGCTACCTTAATGTGGGCGCGCGGACGAAGTTTCTGTCTGTAGCGCCATGACGCTGTGCTGTATCAACTTATAAATTCTGCAGTTTCGTGTTTTTTAGGTTTTGGAGCCATTTCAAGTTGTTTTTCAGAGCAGTTTGTGGTAGATGGCAGATAAGGCTCGGGGTATTGGCAGTAGCATTATTGGGATAGATCAAGATCGTCATATTCGAGGTAATTAGATCTTGCTTCTTGTGAGTTTTTCACTCCTATACCTAGCTAAATATCATTGTGTTAAATACTTAGAAGCTATGAGTTTTTGTTAGGATCTCTACAGAGCAAATATCTGTGGAGAGAGATATTTGAGAGTACTTTTATCCAATCTCATTGTAGTGGAACTCGCATCGAGCAAAACACTGTACATTGTTGGGAACCAGTATAAATCTATTCTATCGTTTATTGCTTTCCATATATTTCCCTTTAATTTGTGATTGGCTTAGATAATTGGATAGAATTGTTGAGAGAGAAATGATTTGGCATGCCTAATTAATTCCCGACTGAGCAACTACATGATCTTGAAAGTCAGCTCATGCACACGTTAAGAACAACCTTCCAAATTCAAGCAAAAGGACAAGAGGAAATATACGGTAGGGAGAGAAGCCAAATTTGACCATCCAAAATAATCAAACCAATTGGCCCTGCGATCGTTTCTTATCTGGTGATGGGAAAACTCAGGAGAGGGTTATGGAATTAAACACAAATCTTGACATCTTTAAAGAAAAACAGATGGCCTAAATTAAACTTCCTTTTGGAACTAGTCATAGTCAAACAATGCTAACAAACGTTCCACTTAAAATACTATCATTATTCTCCATGGAATATCTTGCAAACACCAAAAGATGAATATTCATCAATATGGGTCTTGTTTGAGAGCTGAGGGAGAGAATAATAAGAAACCCATGATGTACCACACGAATAGAATTTCGTTACAAAAGTTAGGACCACATATACTTCAATACAAATATAGCTGTATATGTAATGGAGTGGTTGATAACGTAATGGAAGAAACGAAGTTTTTCGAATTTTTTATTTTTTCATGACATTTTTAACTGTTAAGGATCTCACATTGAACATTGGTTTATAATAAACATGGTTACTATTCTCATGTCCAATTGGTTGTGAGATGGAACCTAATGAATATTAATATGGTATCAGAACCCAACAAGCTCAAACGAACATCCAGTCCAAAAATGGAATCCGACCAAAATCGATGAGCCAAAAGAGCTACGATGAAGACATGTTAAGGATCCCACATTTCAATGATTTTTATAATAAATTCATGGTCATGAGCGAATATATGACGTCGTAAAAAACACCACGAAAGCGTTTTGTGACGTTTTTTAACCGTCACGAAATCCGTTTTCTATAATGTTTATAATAAACCTAACGAATACTTTTCGGAATGGACGAATATATGAAATGTCATATACAACGCGAGGAATCCAAATTTCAAGGGGGTGGAACTGAAATTACTAAACATTGTAGGTGCAATAACTAGTTAATCTAAACTTTTTCCAATTTAACACCTATACTACTAGGTCTGCGTTGCTGTTAATGTGGAATATCCAATTTAGAAAAGATTGGGAATGTGAAGCCCTTTATTTAAATATTACATTTCTAGTTCTTAATTTTAATATAATGTAAATGGAAATATCAATGACAATATTCCTTACAGAATCATGAAAGTTAAGATATTTATAATATATATAATAAAAAGTGAAATAAGTTACAAATCATGATTAATAGTTTTTTTCTTTTGACATCAATATTATTTGGTTTTTTGTTTGACATAAAAGCTTTATTAATAGTATTTATGTTTACATCGATATTATTTGGTTTATTATTAATAGTGTTTATGTCTACCTAATCAATAGTATTTATGTTTACGTTGATATTATTTGTTTGGTAAATCACCAATTGTTCCTATAATTTGATGTTTAAATTTCGTTTTAATTTGAGTTCAATTTCAATTTGGTTATTATGATATATAGTCAAATCTCATAGATTGTCTTTATTAAATACATGGCACATTTTTATTTACATGATAACTAAGGTATATTTTTTATTTAGTTGATTGTGTAATTTGACGCAACAGTTGCATATATAGCAATGTGGTCTAAAATAATAGCAAATCTAACACAAACTAAAAGATTTACAAATACAACACGATTTAAAAAAAAAAAGTTCATCAATAAATCTCAACCCTGCACATTTTTTAGTGATAGACGCCTATCACTAATAAACAGCTTTCATTGATAGATACTAATAGACATTCATCACTCTATCGTTTGGTACATGCTTATCAATGATAGTCAGGATAGATACCGACTTACAAATTTGAGATATTTACAAAATCTTATTTTTTAAATTCTTCTACAAAATAAAATTAATTGCCAATCATTACCATTCTTCTAACTGTAGAAGAGTCTATGGCCACCTAGAAAATAAAGAAAGATGGTGAAAAAAATAATTGAAGTTAGGCCTAACTTTTAAAATGTCCATTTTGATCATTGTATTTTTTAAAAGTAACTATTTTGGTCCCTATTTGTAAAATTTTAACACAAGTTATACATATAACATAAATCCTTTAAGATAGAGTCATTGTTACATTTCAAAAAGTATATTGAGTGTAGTTAATAACATTAACGAATCAGAATGACCATTTTTAAACGTACTAAACACTTTGAAAGTAAAACTAAAATGAACAAAAGTTAAATCTAAAGATACCAATATGAACAATTTGAAAGTATAGGAATCATGATGAACCAAAGTTAAACCTAAAAGTACCACCACCAAAACAATAAGAAACATGATCACTAAGGATTACATAGTAGTGGTTATCACGCACCACATTCAGAATCCACGAAAGAAAAAATCTATCCCAAATGACATACTTGATTAATAAAACAATTTACCTATTCAAAGAATGAAGAATAAGAACAAATTTCACCCATGAAACACTTCTTCTAAAGTTACAACATCGTCAACACCGTTTATTTACGGCACCAAAACTCCTCTATTAATAAACAAATCTTGTCTTTCATGGGGCAAAAGACTAAAATAATATTTTAATCTTATTTATTTCATATTTTTGGATATTCGTACGATATATCATTAATAAGATACCATACTAATATTTTATCCAGTGATTCTCCACGCGATCATCTGAAAAAGTAAATGCCTGTTGATGGCGTTGGCGCGAAGACGAGAAAATAAATAATTTAGACTTGAGAGTTAAGAGAGAGAGAGGCGAAGAGGCGAGGCAGGTGAAGGAGAATTCTCCTCTCTTTCTCAGATTTCCTTTTACGTTCGTTGAAATGGTAACACGAAAATCCATAGAAATTTCCTTTCTTCTCTTTCCTGACGCTGATCCTACTTATTTCTTCCGTTTTCGCCGCGGAAAACGACCCACAAACCTTCCCTCAATTGCTTCCGTTTCAAGCTTCATCGCTGAATATCTTGAATCTCTGGAACGAATCCCTTCCCAGGTATCCAAGCTGTCTCTTGCTTTAATCTCCTCAATCGTGTACCCTTTGTGTGCATCTGATTCCGTGATTTTTCTGTCCACACGCATTTGAATTTATGCTCAATTTCTGCTCTGATTCTTGAGTTTGCGGTTCTTTTTGACGTATGTAACGCCTGGAAATTGAAGTTTCAGCTTCCCTTTTCTGGGTGATGGAGGGATTCTTTTTTGACCTTGTTTCACGTCCGCCAAGAACAGTTAAAGGGAAGTATGTCACTAGAAATTCTCTTCTTGCTAGGGTCTGGCGGGATCCTACAATAATTTACCATGGGGTCTGGATTCTTAGCAAGATATTCACCTTGTTATTTGTTACATTCCTGAGTAAGCCCCCAAGGGGCCGCCCTGGGTCTCTTGGTTCTGGTCATATTGACTTAAATGCCCCAAGTTTGAACTTTTGGTCAGGTTAATATCAAAAACCCTTGATGTCTCTTGAGTCCAGGCTATGGGACGGGCGTGAATGCCATTGAGTATAGTGGAACAAAATTCCGACTCCCGATTATTAAAAAAAAAAAAAACCATTCCTGAGTATGTTTCTAGAAGGTGTAAGTGTTGTGTGTTGTAAACCTTGTGGTTTAAGTTGCCTAGGAAAGAGGAAGGATTTTCCAGCTACTCATTCTTGACCACCATAAAAGGTGGTTCTATGATTCTATTCGTATCCCTGGAAATATCAAAACATGAACTCTTCTCTTTTTTATGAAAAGTCAAGGTCTTTTTGTGCGTGCCTAGGAAGTACAGTGATACACATTTTTGCTTGAAATCTTCTAATTTGAATACTTTTCAAAATAGAACTGTAAGGCATGTGGTGTGCCAATCATAAGTTAGTCAAGTCGAGTGCCATATTAATACCTTGTAAAAAATTTCTCTGCAGCAGGCTTTTAGCTATGGGCACTCTCATGTCTGAGATTAACTTGAAGGATTTTTTTATTCCAAACTATATTTTATCCATTGGATCGGAGATGGAAAAAGTTAGCCATCTACCTGTCTGTCCAGTTGTTGTTTTTATTAACTCGAAAAGTGGCGGTCAGCTTGGCGGCGATATCCTTGTCAGATACCGTGCTCTTCTCAATAAGAATCAGGTAATTCAACTGACATTAATGCAGATTTCTATCTTTAGTTCTTTATGGTTATGGACGTCCAAATTTGAGGCCACTTTCTTTAGGTTTTTGATCTGGGAGAGAATGTCCCTGACAAGGTGCTACATCAACTTTATAATAACCTTGGTTTGCTCAAGGACAGGGGAGATCTTTTGGCTGCTCATATCGAGAAGAATCTTAGACTAATTGTAAGTTACTTGTTTAGTTGTGATTTCACTTATATCTTATACTAGTGAGATGAGAATGCATGATGCTCGAGTTCACTATGTTAAAGTTTTAATTGTCAAGACAATGTCGTCAACTATCGCAAATCTCAACTCTTTACTCTTTACATGGACTTCTAATTATTAGGTTGCAGGTGGAGATGGTACAGCAAGCTGGCTTCTTGGAGTAGTTTCTGATATGAAACTCCCTCATCCACCTTCAATTGCTACTGTGCCATTGGGAACTGGGAACAACCTTCACTTTTCCTTTGGCTGGGTATCTTTTCTTTGTTACACTGCTTTTTCATATTTTTTGCTATCCATATGTATAATAGTGTTTCTACTCATTATCTAAAGGCTTATGTTCCTTTTTTGTACTCACATGATAAGAAAAATGTTTTATGGATCAAAAGAATCTCAACTCGAGTATTCTGTTCAGTATTTCGCTTTGAAATTTTTGTCATTAGTGGAAGATGATCTAATGATCTTATGGGGTGTAAACTCCGACAAAAGAAATCGTGTTTATTTCCTAGCAAGATGTTTAGAATCTTCTAATTTTTCAATGTCAGAAGTTTCTTCTATGTAATCAATCACTTATAAGCTGTCACTTTACCAGGCACTATGCAAGTTATTCTTTCTGTGTACATTGCTCATGGTGCTTGGAATACTGTAAGTCTGAATTTGAAAAGAGTAAACTGTTATTAATTCACAGGGAAAGAAAAATCCTGCCACAAACTGCCAATCCGTTGAATCATTCTTGAGTCAAGTAAGGAGTGCAAGAGAAATGAGGATCGATAGGTAAATTACCATCTATTAACACCAAAATCCGAGCACACTTAAGAAACCATACTTGAGACTAAAAGCATGTTTAGAAAAAATTTTCTTTTGTTCAAACATAAATCATAATTATCCAATTATGTACTATTAGTGTGTAGGTTGACATGTTCTGAAAGGTCGTTCACATTTTTATCAATTAAGGTATCTGAAATAATATGATAAGCTCTCAATTCATATCACCAATGCATGGGCTGCTAAGGGAGTTATTTAGTGAATGGAAGCTTAGAAAATTGTTGCATGATTCTGTTAGGGGAGGTGGGAAGGTTTAGGGTCCGAGAATGGGTACAATGTTTGGCTAGTAATTAATGTAATAGACTAATAGTAGGCGTTAGCGAGCTATACTGTTTTGGATCAACTAGTATTATCTTATCTAATAACTTTCTTCTGACAAAATTGTTGAGGAATGCTGCTTTGGCATAAATAACTGTGGATCAAAAACTTTGATGCTCATAATTAGGATAGTGCACATACTTTTAATGGCTTTTACCAAATTTTATTGAACTAGAAAAACTCATTAGCTGTTTAATAAGGATGAAATTGTTATTGTTTTCTTAAGAACTTTTTTTGCATACCAGCTGGCATATACACATGAAAATGCGAGGTCCAAAGGAAGGTTCTTCTGATTCCATTACACGTCTTGAACTGCCCCACTCTCTGCATGCATTCCATCAGGTATGCCAGACTGACAAGCAAAATATGGTAAACTTGTATTGGTTGTTATCTTTAAGGATGCACATCGGTCGGTGACTCGGTCGGCACTGATTTTGGGCTCAGACTGATACTGATCTCCGACCAGTTGTTTATGGAAGGCTTTTGTAACTTTTTTTTTTTTTTTTTTTTTTTTCATTTTTTCCCCTGCTTTTATGTTATGCATATTGAAATTGTCCTGACTTAAGCTCTAGTGCGCATAATCTATTGGTAGGAAATTTATTAAATTCATGGGTATTGATCATTGGAGACAAATAGCTATAAATAGAAAATAAAATAGCAAATTGCCCTTGTACACTTCAAGAATTTACCTACAGGTTGTTATATTTGTTCTTCACCAAATTGGAAAACAGAGTTACCGCCACTGCAATAAAAAGTAAAATAAATTTAATTCAAATAATTGGTTTGAATTGAAATTTAAAAAATAGTTTATAATTGAGATTTCAAGCATCAAGTACTTCTTTTCAAAAAAAGAAACATCAAGTACTTATTACCCCAGTTGGAGTTTGACTTTTAGAATAATAGACTATGAAATAAAACAAGCCTATATTAGGATTTCTTACTTGCTGCGAAAATTTACCACTTATTTGTCCTTCTGTTATTCTTTTGCATCACTAGATATTTTCATTTACGTGTTAGGGTGCCTGAGTTTTATAGCTTTTTACTAGGGTGGATTTGTTCCGGTAAAGCAATTAACTTTTTAAGGGATTTTCCTTTGTGATGACCGAGCAAAGATACAGGATATGTAGCTTTCCAGAAAAAAAAAATATATATTTTCAAATGTGGTTTTGGTATCGCATTGCCTTCTATGCTTCTTAACTTGTTTTGGCTATTTTTCAGGACAGTTGGAACGTATTTCGTGGTGGATTTTGGAACTACTTCAGTATTGGTAAGAAAATTTATGCTTTGGCACATTCTATCACTTCACTGAATCAAGGTTAAAGGCTCTAGATGATACATGTTTTGGCATATAAAATACATTGTTGAAAAGGTTAATTCTCACAGAGAGATGTTTGCTTTGTTCCTGATTGAGTTGAATATCATGAGTGATTTGAATCATATGGCTTCATCTGATTGAGCTTCGGGTTTCGATAAGCCTTTAAGTCTAAGCCTCCAACTCTATTGTTGTTACTTCGGTCATGTATACTTTTATGGTTCCAACAACACATATAATTCATTTCTAATTATGTAGTCATGAGGTTTTTACATGCCTCCATAGATAGTTTCGACTTTTGATCAACCACTGAGTGAATTAAGAAGCAAAAGTGACTTACGCTGTTAGCTTTGTTGATTAAATTCAATCCAAGAATAGCCCTATTACATGACCCTCCTCCTACATTACCAGAAGTGTGATATATATTGTTTAATAAATGATATGGAGTTGAATTACTAGAATGATCCTTTTGTGAACAACATAATAAAATTTGACTGTGATACGGAGTACAATCGGGTCATGCCTTTTGGTTTTGGCTTTTTCTAATAGTATAATTCATTTATGTCACAATCCTTGTACAATGATGAATATCTATTTTAATGTTCTGGCTGGTACATGTATACCTAAAAATGTACCAATTTATTTCCTGAGAGAGTTGCTGAATGTTCTTTGCAGGAATGGATGCTCAGGTATCTTATGCTTTTCACTCCGAGAGAAAGTTGCACCCTGAAAATTTTAAGAATCAATCGACTAATCAGGTACTGAGTACTGAATTGTTTTTCCCTTCAAGCTCGATACTACGATCTGCCAAAAAAAAAAAAACCAATCATTTTGAGTGTTCAAGCTTTTCCACTTGTCAACTGTCACGATCCAAGACCTTTCCTGATTTCTGTAGGGATAAAATATTGTAAAAAATATATTTTATATTTAAATTATCTATAGTCAAGTAATGATCATTTTCCTAGACATTTATCCTCTCAAGATTTATCCATCCTAGATTAAATGATCAGTACCAGTCTGTTTCGATTATCTACAATTTTTTAGTTTAGTATGTCCTCCAATTGTTTTAATTGTGCGTCTTTACCAATTAATCTCTCTTTTGGTTGAGGCAGAAAACATATTTGAAGATTGCTTGTAAACAAGGATGGTTTATTTCTCCTTTATGTCATCCTACTTCCAGGTATGTCTTTGATTTATCTTTATGTCTAATGAGTGTTCCATCCTATGACAATATTGATAAGAGTTATGCAACATTTATAATTACTTTAAGAGAAAAAATCACAGTTTTATCTATATTTCTGGACCCAAGTCATGTTATCTGCCTTATAAAACATATCAATTTCCATGACATCAACTTTCAAGTAGCTGGTTGTTTTCTTTTTATTCTTTTCCCTCCTTTTGTGAGTAAGAATGAGTTGATAAAATGCAGGAATGTAGCAAATCTTGCAACGCTAAAGATTATGAGGAGGGAAGGTCATTGGGAGGACCTCGTGATTCCTCCTAGGTGATTCGGAATAGCTTTTTCCACATTGCTTCTCTATTTTGCTATTAATTATTGATCTCAGCATTGACACTTGGACTCTTTTCAATCTAAAATGCAGTATCAGATCTATTATATGTCTTAACTTGCCAAGTTTTTCTGGTGGACTTGATCCTTGGGGAGATCCAAGCAAAAATAAATCACGCGATGTTAGTACCAATTCCATTTCCACTCTTAAACCATAATTCTGCTGCTTAGATTTGCTGGTTGTAACTAATATTATGCACAAATTTTTGCATTACAGAGAGATCTAACTCCTTCATATGTGGATGACGGGCTTATTGAGATTGTTGGATTTAGAAACGCTTGGCACGGGCTCGTCCTACTAACTCCAAATGGACATGGAACTTGTCTCGGTCAGGTAATTTCAAGCAAAAACTATGTTAAAATAAGAACAAAAATAGCATTGATTTGATTACACTTGATCCGTATGCAACTAACATTGCCTCTTGGCTGTTCCATTTCTAACGTTTTATGTAGGCGAAAAGGGTTCACTTCGAGTTTCATAAAGGTGCAATTAACCATGCTTACATGAGAATTGATGGGGAGCCATGGAAACAACCCCTTTCTGTGGACGATGACAAAGTGGTCATAGAAATTAGTCATTCCGGTCGAGTCAACATGCTCGCCAACCTACCTTGCCGAGCCAAAAGCGTGCATGACCCTTGTTCGACCGTTAGTTACGACGACGACAAAGAAGCTTATAATGGGGATGAGGACGAAGTTGCAGAACATCACGAGATGCTAAGGAAGTTCGGTGCAGCTTCTACCTTTAAGTTTGAGGACACCATTGAAATAGTTCATCACAACTTGAACTAGGTACTGACATCTTTGCTTTTACTGTTTTTTTTTTTTTTTTTGGTGTAAATGTATCAGAATCCTTTGACATGATTGATGAATAAAATAGTTACTTCAGCTCTAAGGTCCCTCTGTCCAAAATTTCCCTTTCATTAGATGTATGAAATTTGCCAATTAAGATCCCACACCCATCTGATACGTAAATATTAAATTCATTCATGAGATATTTACAAGACTAAGAGGGATGTTATCATAGAAAGTCTATGGTCAAAATTACACTATTGAGATTTTATACATTATTCACATAGAAATTGAACCAAACAGATTAAAATGATTTAATCAAAGTTGAAATTACCAATTACCAAGATCAAAATAAAGAAGTACAGGGATAAATGTCGATTTATAATTTTTTCTTTTTAATATACTATATTTAATTTTTTTAACGTTAATATTTGTACTTACTTTTTCAAAGTACATATTTGTATGTACTCAATTTCTGAAGCAGCTTCTAAAAAAGTTTCAAAAGAATACATACTTGCCTATTTTAAAACCCATTAACCTTTTTTAAAACAAAAATTACCTTTAGTATGTCATTTGGTCCCCAAGTTACACTATTTTTTTTTTCCAATTTGTTTCCAATATTTTAAAGTTTCAATTTCACCTCTCAAGTTTCAATTACAATATATATATATCACTTAATAGTTTAGTTGGAATGGAATAAATGAATAATAATGTGTCATTAAGTATACTATTTTAACGAGTATTTATGTTTATGAATATTTAATATTTACTTTGAATAAAAATTTTAGCAGACTTTATCCTATTAAAAAATGGAACACAATTCTTTCTAATTATTTTATCGTGGGTGAGACATATTTGACCTATAGAAAACAAAGCTTTTAAACGTCATGATATAATTTTTTTTTCGATATTAATAACATTATTGTCAACTTTAAACCTAACTCAACTAGTTAAAATACATATTTTTAATCAAAAAGTCGAAAGTTTGAATCCTTCCTCCCCACGATCTAAAGGTTTCATTGATTTTTTATTTTTGTCTTAATTAAATGATGAAACACAATTTTTTTAATCCAGAGAGTAAACAAGATAATCTAAAAATAATTCTCCAACGTTGTATCAATATTTTTTTTTAAATAAATTAATAGATATAAATTTAAATTATAGAATGTAGCACATGCAATTGTACTCGAAAACTCGAATTATTTTTTGTATTAAAAATTAATAAATTGGTCAAAGTCGTTTGGAAGTTAAAATTAAAACTTGAAACCATCAATCCATCTGCCAACATGGTTTTATTTTTCTTCTTTGGAAGAAACTCGTGGGTTTAAGGAAATTGTGGATTATTATACTATATAGTTCANTTCTTAGTCTTAGATGTTAATCTTAATTTCAATTTGATTAATTTATCTTGTAAAATTTTATTACCATTCCTATTTTTTGATTAATGTTACCAAACTTTTCTATCATAATAAAAATCAACCCTGACAAATTATTTATTAATATTTTTCAGGACAGAGTTTATTAGTATTTGAAATTAGTTATTCTRATAATTTAAATTTATGATGTGAAAATTTTCCTACCTCAAAATTTTATCATGGGACAAATGTAGTAATTACACTTTTAAAAAAGTATAAAATTAAATTGAAACTGCAAATAAAATTAAACTATAGAGACCAAAAATCTAATTAAACCTTAAAAAAGAAACTATCTCCAGGGGGGAGTTTCTTGAAAAGAGAAAAAAATGAATTTTTGCTTAAAAAAAGCATTTTGGTTTCGTACTTTCGTATAATCTGTTTATTTATTCATTTAAAAATTATAAATATAATTAATTAATTTTAGTAATATATTTAAAATTCTGCTTAAATTTTATTTTAATCTCCAAATTTTCAAAATTTAGCCAATTATAGTTCTTATTGGGACGCTTATGAGTCATTACACACTTGAGTCACAATTTAATATACATATTTGAAATCATATGGAAACAAGTGAGGAAGAAAAAGTATTAACAAGAAGTAAATAATTATTTTTCAAAAGTTGAAAAATTAAAATATAAAATTTTAAAATTTATATTTCGTAAACAAAAAAAGAAAATTATAAATTTATAAACAAAACTACAACTTGTTAATTAATAYAAGCATAGCTCAATGTCAGAGTGAACATAACTCAATGCTAATTGACAAATAGTTCAAGAGTTTGTGAATTTGATCTCCACCCATCAGGTTTTACTAAAAATAGAATTAAGTAGCGATTTGAAGGAATTTGCGTATCAGGTAAATCGTGTTCGTTGTACACGAGTTCTCTCTGTACACGTTATCACCAAAAAAAAAATTTGTTTTCCATCTAAATTTTTTATACCATGCGCGATCTATCTTGAATTATTTTTCCCGCAAAAATTTTGAAATCTTTTTAGTATTTTGTTGCTGGCTAAATTAGGAACTAAATTCATGTACCACAAGTTGATTAATAAAAGTTGAGTACMCTAAATTCATATACCACATTATAATAAAAATTAGCTTCAATGATAAACTAATTTCAAATCCATTAATAAAAKTTTGGACAAGTTGATTTAAAAGTAAACAAACTGAAATATTAATAAAAACTCATGTACCACATGATGACCATCTTCTCGGGCGAGCTCTACGACGAGGTTCAGACGTAGCAATATGTGATGATGGATGATGAATTATATCATCCATATCTTGTTGTATTACCTCAATAGGTGATAGTTGTGGTAATGAATTTGGTGGATCAATTGAACTTGGTGCAATGACTGAATGAACTACAAGTGTAGGAATCATAATAAAATCTTACTAAAAGAGAGGGAGGAATAAAATCACCTCCAACAATAGCTGGTGGAGGCAGCGATGGAGACAGATGCTTGTGCGACGACGATTGAGTTGAGAGAGGTAAGGAAGAAAGAGAGGATTAGGGTTTTGGTTTAAAAATGAGGGGYGAAGGATATTAAAGATTTCACGTTAAAAAGAAAAGGAACCTAAAATGGTTTATAATAGACCATCTCATTGGCGCCAATTGATTTTGAGATAGAACCATAAATATTAACAGAGGAGGGGTGGAGTGGTGAGGGAACTTGCATGCATCTTACATGAGTTTGGTGAAATTGTGTGCATTGTACACGAGTTCGGTACAACACACATGGTTCATGCTACCAACTTTTGAAATTAGTTTCAAAACTACCATATTTTTGTTTTTTATTGTTTAAATTACATTATTTAAAAAAAAATCCACTTAAATATGGTTGCAAGTTGAAATTTCCCCCCTCAATTGAAGCTATTTAAAGCTAAACCCTAATTGAAAAGCCTAAATTGGTAAATTAACCCAACTAAACTCCTTGATAATTAATTAGAAGCATGAGCGAAGTAAGCAAAGCAAGGAAAAGCCACGCGGTGCCCCATTTTCACAAAATCCAGGAACCCCCCTTGAAAGCACCTGGTTTTCTCCTCCAAAACCATGGCTAAAATTCCCCTGTTTCTCTCTCCTCTCCCCTCTGGTTTTCCTCTCTCTCTCCCCTATTTATAGCCACAATTCCAAAACCCAATACCATTACCACCACAGATCCGATTCTTCCATTAGCCACAAACAGAAACAGAGCAGATGAGCGCAGCGTGCAGGGCGTGGCTCGTGGCGGCGAGCATCGGCGCCGTCGAGGCGCTGAAGGATCAGGGCGTGTGCCGCTGGAACAACGCCATCAAATCCCTTCACCACCATGGCAAGACCAAGCTCAGATCTTATTACCAGGCCAAGAACCTCTCTGCGTCCTCCTCTTCCGCCATTGCCAACCACATCAGACGATCTCGGGAGGAGCAGATGGGGAAAGTCATGGATTTGAGCTGCTTCGGCCCCAGCACTGTTAGATTCTAGAAAAAAAACTCATGGGTCTTCATCAAGTTTTGATCTTTCACAAACCCATCAAAATCAAATTCAAATTCAAATCCCTTTCGTGGGTTGTAGGGTGTGTCTGATCTCTGATCTTTGTGTTGTTTTGGATGGTTTTGGCTTTGAAGTTTGCTAATACAGCTTCAATTCCTAATTTTCTGTTTTGTAAATACCTTTCATTTGGGTTTGTTTCTTACTGCTCTGCCAAACTGGTGTTGCAAAAATACCCAAATTTTTGATTCATTGATTTGATCCGGCCGGGACCAGAAATGGAGTGGGTTTTCTCTAATTTGGAAGCTGTATTATGTGCCGTTTAGCTGCTGTGTTTGAGGTTGGTGTTTTAATTTAATGTAATGTATCTTTAATTTCACGTTCTCTCTAGGCTGTCACAGGTATCAGCAGCCTTTAAAGTAGAGTCTAATGAAACAAAACAATATGCTAAATTTTCCAAATATTGATCCCACCTGCCATTTCAAGGAAAAAGAGAAAAATTGCTAAATCTTATTACATTTTGATGGTAAAAAAAAACACAAGAAATTCACTCCTAGTGGCTAGTATTTAACCTATTCACTCTAAATCTTTTTTTATTACACCAACGAGGTGGCCAATCATCAACATATAAGTATTTCCCTATTCCTATTTTTATATCGTAGGCAACTCATAACAGATGGAATGACTCTGTTGCTTTTCCTTCATTTCTTTTTCAAATTTAAATATAAATTTGGTGTCCTAACTTCGAACTGATTGGAAATTTACGTTAGTTATTCCTAAACAATAAAATTAGAGTCCTCATACATTGAACTGATCGACTAAATAATTGGATTATTTGATAATATTATTCTGGTAAAGGTCCTAATGCATGAAGAATAATCATCACCACCGAGTGTAAAAAGTGTCTTTGGATTGAATAGCATTTTTACTGAGGTAGTATTATTTTTTACCAATTTTTTCTAAATTTCTAATTTTTGCTGACATCATCGTACGTACCAAATTACTTTCACCACCCTTCCACTCATTTTGTTAGATTTCTCTCTTTTTCCATATTTTTTTCCCTCTCTCTTTTTCCATTCACCCAATCTTTCTTTGTTTTCTCTTCCTTCTTTTTCTTCTCTTTTTCTCTCTTCTACAACACTATGGTTTCTCTCATTCTTCTTTTTTTTGGTTTCTCTGTTCCTTCTTTTCTTTGGAGAGGAGAGGAGAGAGGAGAGA